GGTTTAGGCGAGCTCCACTTCTTGAGCCAGGTTCCTAGTACGGGCGAACCGCTCAAATCTGGCGAGCCTAACAGTTTAGGCGAGCTCTACTTTGTAGGCGTATAAAACTGCTTATAGGTCCCTTGACACAGCTCGGCGCGATGATTCGACAAAACGACGAACGTTCAAGCAACGAAACGAACTAAAGAGGCTACAAAGCTAACGAACTGCATGTGAACGTTAGTGGCAGGGTGGCTCGGCCAAGGCCGAGCCACCCTGAGGTGGCTCGGCCAAGGCCGAGCCACCCCTGGGTGGCTCGGCTATGGCCGAGCCACCTAGGGGTGGCTAGGCTCAGAACTGTGCAAACGCACAGTTCTGAGAGCCTATAAATAGGCCTGGTACTCGTTCATTTGGACTTCTTCTGAAACTTTTGAGAGAGCCGAAACTCTGCCGGATTGTCACCTCAACTCGGAGATCTGAAGGCTTGAAGACTTGGAGACCCGGATTTGATTCTTAGCGAGCACCCGCACCGAAAAAGGCAGGAGTTCGAGAGAGTCTAATCCCCAGATCTACGTCGTCACACTCCGGATCTAAGCTTGGTTCTTAGATCCCGAGATTCGAGCGCCGAGCCACCTCAGGGTGGCTCGGCATGAGCCGAGCCACCCTCAGGTGGCCCGACTCCCCCCCCTCTCTCTCTTGTGCACAAAGGCACAGTTCAGAGAGGCTATAAATAGGGGGGGTGGTTGTTCATTTGAGGGACTTCTTCTGAAACTTTTGAGAGAGCCGAAACTCTGCCGGATTGTCACCTCAACTCGGAGATCTGAAGGCTTGAAGACTTGGAGACCCGGATTTGATTCTTAGCGAGCACCCGCACCGAAAAAGGCAGGAGTTCGAGAGAGTCTAATCCTCAGATCTACGTCGTCACACTCCGGATCTAAGCTTGGTTCTTAGATCCCGAGATTCGAGCGGCCGTTTCCTTGGTGAAACGATCCCTCCCGGCTATTATCTCCTTGGTGGGATAATACTCGTAATACGTCGTAGATCTGCTTGGATCCAGATCACGCGGTGGTCCACGGTAAGCAACCCCGGCGCAGGCAAACAACCCACAAAGCAAGAGACCGGATTATAATTGCTATGAAGGACCTTGACGCCTCGTTTGGTACGTGGGAATGAAGTCAAGTGAGAATGGAATGGAAGAAGGAATGGAATGGAATGTATGTGAGAATGGAATGGTCATTCCCATTCTCTTGTTTGGGTGCGTTTGTAGAATTAAGGATAACAGGATCTTGTGATTTGTTCGGTAAAAGAGAGAAGTTGTAATTTTGATTTCTTTGTTTTATTTTGATTTTCATTGTAAGCCGGATCTTATAAAAAGACCGGATCTCTTTGTAACGCATAAAGTTGTTAACTGAGTGCAATGGAATCGATAATGAAGAAAACACCAACTTTCCCCGCGAACAGTTATATTAATCTAGGTATGTAGGTATGTGTTATACTAATGCGCATGTTATCGATCAGGTGTATGTTTCGTTTATATTTTTTAAACAATTCTCACTATTTCTTAGTCTTAAAAAATTAAATAAAAATAAATAAAAGATTATTGCATCTTTCATAGGTCCAAAAAATATAAAGAATGAGAATACGTCGATTTCAGGGGCGATGAATAGAAAGGAGGCCTTTTTGTTTCGGTGGAGCCTAAAAAAACAGAGAGAAAATGAGAATACGTAGTCAAAAGCCATGATTTTTAAATTAATTCTTATTATTAATAGGAGTATAATTAAAAAAAAAACTAACTAATTTGATTCTCCCCTTGAATGAGAATGATCATTCCCTATCTTCTCATTTGGAATGCCCATTCCCACAAAAAATGGGAATGACCATTCCATGGGAATGATCATTCCAACATCTAAAAACTAGTTTTGTTTGGTAGGAGAGAATGAGAAGTGAGAATGGCATTCCATTCCACCCCATTCCCGCGTACCAAACGGGGCCTAAACACCCATTCCCTTCCCCCTTTCCCACTCCCAGCCGCCGCTCCTCAGACCTCAGTCCTCTCTCTCTCACTCTCTCACTTCCTCAGTGTCTCTCTCACTCCGCCGCGCTCGGCAAGCGCTCCGCAGTCTTCATGGCCGAGGCCGAAACATCTCCTCGGGTTCAGGATGTATCTCCGGCTTTGGGGGACACCCGCACCCGTCGTCGTCGCTCAGATCTTGTAAGTTCTATATTGCTCTTGTGTCCGGGCTTCCATTTTGATGATTTTGCAGCGACTTTGTTATTTCTCCTTGTATTTTCCTTTGGCTATCATCAAATTGGGAATTGCATGGAGATAGGAACCTGAAGTTATTTGATGACGGTTATTCAGTTGTTTCTCTTTGGACGATGTTGATGATCTTTCTCAACTTTGTTAATGTAATTCGTTCTGGAATTTGTACTTGGAAACCTGTTTTTGTTGGCTGAAGGGAAAAAAAACTTGGTTATTGCATTACTGGATGTACTCTGATGTGTATGTCATATAGGATGCCTGAGCAAATTTAATATTGTAACTGGTCAAGTCTGTGTTGTTAATTGTTTGGTCATACACTTCACGGGATGGGCTTTTTAGTTATCGGTAATGCATGATCCTGAGTGCCAACAGTGTTTAATGCTTCATATTAATATCATTATATCAGTTTTTTAATGTTTCATAATCTCCTACTTGTTGATATCTTTATTTTCTTTAACACATATTGTTGTTTGATAACAAGTTTGATGAAGATAGAACCGAACAAACCGAACCGAACCGTACTGAACCGACTTGCAACGGTTCGGTTTGGTTTTGAATTATAGACGGTTCGGTTCAGTTGTTCAAATTTTGGTAAAAACCGAACCGAACCGACTGTTGCACACCCCTAACTGCAAGGTGGGATTCCACTAGTACATTTGAATCTTCAATAGTTTACAAAGTTTTCTATTTTTTTTATATATGAGCTAATATGAGTAGAAGGAGAAGGATTATCTTAGCAAAATATGAGTAGTATTGCTGTAAGTATAATATTGACAAGAAACATAAGCACGATAATCCTATTGATAGGTGATAGCGACAACACTTACAAGCAACCAAACATGTATTTTGGCATTTCCCTTTTAGCGGGCAATGGTGTCAGGGGTTTTGTTGACAAAGCTTCAAAATTCGGGGGTGTTAAGTGGAAAATAACCAATATCAGGGAGGTTATGCCCCCCCACCACGAAGCAACATAAGCAAACACACTAGTTCAGTAGGTTAAGTGAGATTAACACTAACTTTTAGTGTTATAGTTTAAATGACTGAACACTGAACGTCACCTTAAACATGATGCAGGTCTTAAATGAAGATTCAGTTTTCCTTGTGTCCACAAAGAGATCAAAGATGGACAAATACCGACTTCCAGTAGACATCAGGATGTTTGTTTCTGCAGGTCATTCTGAATCTGATCTGACAAAAGTATTAGAATCATCGAAGAGAGTCGCCACATCTGTTCTTTTTGAGGTTGCTTGAGCTTCAACTAGAGCATGTTCATTGAATTCAACTATAAGATTTGTTAGATAACATCATGAGTTACCTAGCAGCCATACAACCGCCTCCTAGTCGTCCTACAGCATCCTAGCCGAGCATCCTAGCCGATTAAAAGTAAATTATTGAAACAATTAAACAAACCACAACATATTTATAGGGTTGACGCAGACATCAAAAGAACTTTTATGTTCAAGACTATTGTTTTAGTGTACTCGTGATTTCAATACACAATTGCCATAATTCTTCATGAACCATACATAGTTGTTATTTCTGTTTACACCCGTCTATTTCATCCTTTTGAAATTGACATCGTGAAGTGAACACCAGCTTCCTTTATTCCCTTTGAAATTGGCATCGATGTGCATGTACATTTAACCATATGAGTTTATGTAAATAGCTCTCTACATGAGTTTATGTAAATAGACGGGTGTAAACAGAAATGGCAACTGGGTATGGTTCATGAAGAATTATGACAATTGGGTACTGAAATCACGAGTACACTGAAACAATAGTCTTGAACATAAAGTTCTTTTGATGTCTGCGTCAACCCTATAAATATGTTGTGGTTTGTTTAATTATTTCAATAATTTGCTTTTAACCGGCTAGGACGTTGTAGGGCGGCTAGGAGGCGGTTGTATGGCTGCTAGGTAACTCATGATGTTATCTAACAAATCTTATAGTTGAATTCAATGAACATGCTCCAGTTGAATATCAAGCAACCTCAAAAAGAACAGATGCGGCGACTCTCTTCGATGATTCCGTTGCCCTAGTGAAAACGAGGGAGAGCGACGGAAACGTTCGCCCGACGCTAACCCTGATCTCTCCTTGTCGCCTTGCTCGTCGCCTCCAGAGATCCTCGTCTCCTTGCTCGTCGCCTCATCGTTCTCTCTCTAAGATCCGAAGGTGAGCTTCGATTCGAGCTTGTAATTTATTTTTGATATGGATTTTGTTCTGTGGATGCTTGGTTGGAGTTAATATGAAGCGATGAGTCGTTTGATGTTATTTTTAATTTATTTACAGTAACACAGTACGATTCATTGTCTGAATTGATATTTTCGTTTGGTTTACTCGCAATTAGGTTGTCTTTGGTGATATCTTTGATCTTCTCGGAACCGCTCCAGATTCAACTGTAGGTTTCTCTTGGATCTCTCTGTCAACATGAATCCAAATTCATCCGAGGTAAATTCTGCTCATATTTTTTTTGTTGGTTTTGAAGTTTAATTTGTTGGTGATATCTTTGCTCATATTTTTGGAAATGGGTAAACGAAAATGGGCTTGTGTGTGTTTATTATAAGCTGCCATCTGAAATTTGTAAATGGGATTTTGAGAATCCTGCAATCTTATGGGGTGAGTTTTTAGTCATGCCAAATCTGGTGGAATTGATTTATAGGAAACATTGTGCGGTCAATCCTTTGCCTAATAATTTTTTATTTATGGTTTCTTCAACAAATTGATCCTATTGACACATAATTAGTAGGGTGAAAACAGGGTTGAAAATGGGCTCCCCTTTTGTTAGCGAACTGGTCCTTGCTCACCCGAATACTAAGACTCTTGATTCTACTAATTTCTTTTAAGAAAATCTGGATGTACAAATTGAGATTATCTATTTCATGTGCGCGCTAGGGAGGTTTCTGTAATAGCTCATATCTATCACACACTGAAGTCGTAATTATTTTCGATTTGTTTCTTTGTTGTTAATGAAAGTTCCAGTTGTTACGCAGCAAATTACAATCACATTTTTCAGATATGCCAAACTATCAGAATCGCGAAATTGGATTTCACTGTTAGTATTAATCAAATATTTTTGGCTATTCCCTCTGAATGTTGGCTACTTTTCTTGCAGTGCATCATGGCTTATCTGCTTTGGTAGTTCGATTACAGTAATTTTCTGTACTTGTGTTTTTTCTTTATATTCGATTTACTCTCTGTTAAGATTTCTTGAGCGGTGTTTCTTCCATTTGTTCCTTTTCATTTTCAGATGTTTGTATCCAGAATGATTGATTTCTTTTGTACATTCTCATATAGTGCGAGTTTTACACTTTTGGGCATTCAAGTTTCTATCCATGTTTATGCAGATTAATCTATAGCCACAGAAGCTTATGGTTTATTCTCATATATTTAATCTGTAGCCACAGAAGCTTATGTCCAGGACTCATAATCGCCTACTTAACAATTTGATTACCCATACTCTTAGTTTAGTTAGATTAACAACATGAACTTATCAGCTATAAATGGTTAGTCGAAGGTTTCAGTTTAATATTTTCATGATTGTTGGTTATGATTGTGACGTGCTTACTATAAAAAGTGTTTGAATTTGTAGACAAGAAGATGATGAATGGGCTATACAAAGGAAAAAGATAAAATGTTTGGCAGGGATTGTGGCTGCATATGTAGCATATGCAGGTGCTATTATGGCAACTAATATCTAAAGTGGAGTATATAGATAGATCAATCTTAGCTCAAAAAGATGAACATAGGAACTTACTTGTGGAGCGACTAACTCAACAAAGTGATAGAGATTGTCGTGAACAACTACGCATGTGAGTAAATGCTTTTGCTAGATTGTGGCAATTGCTTAGGGAGACGGGACATCTTTATGATAATAGACGCAGTTCTGTAGAGGAACAAGTTGCTAAGTTCCTTCAAATTCTTTCTCATAACTGGAAGTATCAAGCAGTAAAATCAATGTGCCTACTCATCATTCTCTCTTCATTCTAGAGGAATCAAATTCTTTTTGCTAAAACATTCTCTCTTCAAGCTTTTTTTTTAGATTTATTTCAAGGAAAATCAATGTGCCGCCTCATCAAATGCACCGGACATTAAACAATGTGATAGGCCTTCTGAGTTGCCAAAGCTTGTAGCCAAAGTTTATCATATATGTTAATGTACTCTCTTTTCTCATTCATCACATGACTAATAATACATATAACCATTATTGTGCAATACCACATTCTAGAGTCTGATTGTGTCAATCAAGTAAAACATTGAAAAACTGTGACTTATAAATTGCAATTACACAAAAAATGTGACTCCTTATAACATTGAATGATATAATCTATTTTATTCTGACAATGTTCAACTATTTCCATTTTCAACATCTCAGGTACCAGTTTAAAATAGCACCAACATGAAGAGAAGGAAACCAAACCAAGCAAAACGATACACTGCATAGTTAATGATCAATGGATAGCAAAGAAAAGGGAAGAGAACGCTGGCAAATACATATGAAACACAAAGGGTAATCGGAAGCTTCGAGATGAAAGGAAAATCCAAGGCTTTTCAAAGAAATTAGTGAAAAGACTTAGAAAGGCTATAACGTCATAAGCTTGGATTTACATATACATCATCAAAATTTACTTTTATTCTTGTTATAGTACTTGATTGATCAATCACCATATAGATACAACAACTCTAATATCGCATAATTAATCCCTAAAAATAAATTTATTGTTAAAACATTTAAAATTACATTCAATAAATTTATACAAAATCTAACATTATAATGTAAAATAAAATTATAAATTTTACCACGTGCATTGCACATGCAATCCAACTAGTAAATATAAATGTTTTAGTTTGACTATTTTGTGTTTTCTTTATCTATTAATAGGCACATCCTGGAGCAAAACAATTTCGTTACAAACCTGAACCGTGTTTTGAAAACTTGCAAATCATTTATGGGAAAGACATGGTTGTTGGTTGATCTTCTGAAACTATCAAAGAAAGACGTGCTCGCATAGAAAATGAAAGAGATGAATCAAGTTCTATCCAGTGTTGTAAATAGCGGCCAATAGCGGGGCTATAGCGGCGCGAATAGCGGTCGCGGCCCTTCAGCGCTACGCGTAGGGGTTTCACGGCTGGCTTAAGCGGGAAAATCCGCTATTCATTCGAATAGCGCGTAAAAGCGGATTTTAGCGGGTTAAAAGCAGATTTTCGCGGTTAAAAGCGGATTTTCGCCGTTAAAAGCGGATTTTTTTGTTAAAAGCGGCTAAACCCGCTATCACACATATTATGATGCTATATTTCTTGAATTTCTTCATAGTTTCATTCATACAACAAGCTTATTAATTGTTATCTATTGATAATACAAGAAATTTATAACTAATTGAATTTTTAGATTTTTTATGAATTTTCTTATTATTTAGGATATTTAAATATACTTAAATTTGACCGCTATTTGACTGTGCGCTATTTGCCGCGATTTCGCCGCAATAGCCCGATATAGCCTTAGCGGTACCTCGCCGTGACGCGCCACGATCCGCTATCAGCAACCTTGGTTCTATCAATATAAATCAAGATGATAGAGAAGCTGTTCAAGAGAATGATGTAGAATGCATCGACCCTTCAAAAGGTAAAAGAACAAGATCCCAAAACCCGTTCTGCAACGGGAACATCTTCAAAGGTGATATATAAAAGAAAGCATAGTGCCACTAACAACTTGGGTGAAGAGCTTGATGGGCTAAAAAGCGGAATGTAGTCAATTGCTTCTGCAATTTGGAAGACCGGTCCTCGTTTTTACACAGAAGGAGAGATATTTGAGGAGCTTTCAAAAGTTGAAGGGCTCAATGAGGACGAACAACTTGTAGCCTACGACTATCTTACCGAGGATGCGGCTCGAGGAAGAAACTTTATTGGGTTACCAATTCATTATCTTACCGAGGATGTGGCTCGAGGAAGAAACTTGATTGGGTTACCAATTCATCGGAGGAAAAGGTGGTTGCAGATTAAGCTTGGATGGGCATCACACAATCTTGGTATCGGTACTAGGAGGTAATTTTGTAATGAAACATTCATTTGCCTAATATAAAAGTAGACTGGTATTTGCCTAATGTAAAAGTAAACTGGTAATTGCTTAGTATTGTGCGTGTGTAGTTACTGATGAGCAGTAGCTCATCTGTTTGCTCAATGCAAAAGAGTTACTGAAAAATTGTTTATCACTATCATTTTTCTTCTTTTGGTTTAGCTAACATATATTAGTTATACTCTGCGTATACTTTGCTAATTTTCTTTTGTTGTGTTCTTTTTAGATCTATTACTTACACTATGCTGCTGTATTATTTGCCTGGAGCAGCTATGGATCGGTTTTGTGATATATCCTTCTGCTACTGTGTTGTTTATGCTTAGACCCTCTGAGGTCTGGTGTTGATATTTGCTTAGATGATTGAATTGTTGGCTAACTTATCTACTGCTGAGAATGTGAATTCACACAAATATTTTGGTTTACTTCTAAGTTATAACTATATTGGAGATTATATTGGTTTAAAGACAGAAGTGTAGGAATCTTTCTTCATTGTGATAGAGAGTTATGTTGGTTTACTTCTAAGTTATAACTATATTGGAGATTATATTGGTTTAAAGACAGAAGTGTAGGAATCTTTCTTCATTGTGATAGAGAGTTATGTTGGTTTACTTCTAAGTTATAACTATATTGGAGCTCACATCTTCGTTTATGTTTTACTTTTTAATGTTGGTTTACTTCTAAGTTATAACTATATTGGAGCTCACATCTTCGTTTATGTTTTACTTTTTACAGTGTTAGATTTAATTTGTAGCAAATTCTAAGTTATAACTATATTGGACCTTTATATTCTACTTATTTAAATTTTTTTGAATTAATTTCAAGGGATGAAGGATGCGAGATTGATGTTTTGATGGGCTCACTAAAGTCAAAAACCAAGGACTTCGGCATATTTTTCTCTCTCTCTCTCTCTTTGGTTAAGATTATCTATATATGAAATTGATTGTAATAGATTTTGTTGGTTAAGATTTTTTATATGAAATTGATTGTAATAGACTTTGTGACTAGAAATGGATTATACTTGATATTAGGAATATCATGACATTTACTTTAGATTTGTTTTGGTTCTTTCATTGACATTTCTTTTTGCAAATATTATGTTTGAGAAATGTTGTTCTTTAATTAGCAGAATTGTGGTTGTGCTTCTGCTTGTTAATATTTACAAACTCGATGTTGATGACCACTCAAGTTTTTGTGTTAGGAAATTGCCAATTTTTTTAAATACATGTTTATTAACTTGTTACTTCCTAAGATATGAATGATACTAATTTTGAATAATTATGCTTGAATTGCATCATTGTCTAGAGCTTATTCGGAATCATCTTTCTTCACCTGAAGTTATGAATAATTTGCAAGTCCAAGGCCATATAAGATTATATGCAAATTTAGAGTCATCGTAAATTTGACTAAATTTTCTTAGTTAAGATTGTGCAAACATGTTCGGTAACTTATAAATTTTTTGAAAATATGATAGAATCATAATTTAATTCAATTATTTTTTGTAAATTATTTAACATCTGAATCTAATTTCAAAAAGTATGAATTAAAATTATGTTGTGATAATTTTCTTCCTTTTTTCTCATAATGGTAACCAAACAAGAAAAAATGACTTTCTTATGAATTTTCTTCTAACTTTCCTTACAATATTCTTTCTAACCAAACAATAAAAAGAATACCATTTTTTTTTCCTTTCTTTTTCTTTTCTCTCCCTTTGCCTCAAACCAAACATAGCCTTAAGAAAAAGTGATTTTCTTTATCATCAAAAGTTTAAAAAAAGAAAGAAAAGAAAAGTGAATACCAGTATAACGTAATCAT